CAAATAATTTCCCAAACTAGTAAAATAAATTTCTACAATTGCAGGCCATTTATCTTGAATTGTCGAGTTTGCTGTTATTAATGTGTATGGATAATTTTCAACACTAGTTTCATAAAAAAATTCTCGAACAGAATATTTTCCTGATGGATATTTAATAGCTTTTATCATAGCCCTAATAGTGGACGAGGTGTTATTGATATCATTATAAGGAGAAATGATCGATGTTGATTGGATTTCATAATTATTTATATTCAATTTATCTCTCAACAATTGATAATTATTCGGAATTCTAGTGATATCACGTGCTTGGCGTTTCATCTTAAGGTAGTCATAATAAATAGCGTATAAAGCTGGAATAAGTGATGGAAATGTAGCACCATCTTCAACCACAACATTTCTAATAAAAGTCGTAAAATTAATAGATTCAATCAATGTATAAATACATATTAAAATAATGCTAATATTTACCTCATTTCTCTATTCAGTGACTTGTTAGAAACTGTCGCAAACATATTTTCACCTTGGAAAAACTTCAAACCCGAATCAGTATTTCCTTTGACTTGAGAGACCAGATAAAAATTATACTCTCTAGCTCTACTGCATCTTCGTTCAATATACCCATCAAAATCATTAAAGAAACCCTTTTTAACAAAAACAATCCTAAAATTGCATGCTTCCACTGCTGATGGATTAAGACTTTTGTTTGAAGCCTTGAAAGAAATTTCAACTATTATAGGCCAGGTGTTTTTAATGTAAGAACCTGATGTTACTGGCGAATCATAATAAACTACACTATTTTGATAAAAAAATTCTTGAATTTGATATTTTCCAAGTTGTCTATCAATTTGTTTAATAATTGCATAAGTCATACTTGAAAAGGTAACGTTTGGTGAAGATGCATTCAAATTCAGGTTAAAATTTTGAGTCAAAGAATTGACATCGTCAGCATGCTTTACATCCTGAATCATAGTTAACTCATTGTTTTTTGATGCAAAAAAAGATGATTCGATAATGTAATCAAAACTATCATAATTGTCTCTGAATAATTGATAGCGTTTAGGGATTCTCGTAACATCGTCATAATCGCCAAAATTGTAAAAAGATAAAACTAGTAATGCCAATAAACTAAAAATACCTAAACAGATTGAAATTTTTCGGGTTGAAGGTTTGGTTTGCGATATATCAGGTCGGGAATCGACCGTTGAAGGAATATCATAAGTTTTATAATTTCGGATATCTTTTTCACTCAGATTAGCAATAAAT